CTGGGGGCTGTTTGGGGGTTTGGGAGGGGGCTGGGGGCTGTTTGGGGGTTTGGGAGGGGGCTGGGGGCTGTTTGGGTCCTCCCCAGCCCCCTCCAAGCCACCCGAAACCCCCCAAACCCAGCCGGGATCCCGTGGGAGCCGCAGGTTCCTCCCGGCTGGGTTTTGGGGTGCCCTGACCGCAGCCCCCCGCCCCCCCAGACGTGTTCCACTGGCCGTGCCTGGCGGGGTGGGCTCGGGCGCTGCCCCCCCGCACGGCCCCCGCCGGCCACCGCTGTCCCCAGTGCGGGGGTCCCCTGTTCCCCCCCCCGAACCTGGAGGGTCCCGTGGCCGAGGCGCTGCGGGCGCGGCTCCGCACGGCGCCCTGGGCTCGGCCCGGCCTGGGGCTGCCACTGGTGAGTGCCCCACAGCCCCCCACAGCCCCCCACAGCCCCCCGAGACCCTGGCCCGCCCCCACCGCCCTGAAACGGCACAAATCCCCCCCAGATCGAGGACTCGGAGGAGCCGCCGGAGCCCGAGACCGCCCAGGAGCCGGACGGGGGCTGGGACGGTGCGGGGTGACCCCCAAAAACACCCCCGGGGGCCCCAAAAACATCCCTGAGACTCCCCAGGCCCCCTTGGGACCGCCCCCCTATTTCTGTCCGGGAACCTGAACCTCCCCAGGACCCTCCCAGCACCCCCAGAGACCCACCAGGAACCCCAGAGACCCACCAGGAACCCCCAGAGACCCACCAGGAACCCCAGAGACCCACCAGGAACCCCAGAGACCCACCAGGAACCCCAGAGACCCACCAGGAACCCCCAGAGACCCACCAGGAACCCCAGAGACCCACCAGGAACCCCCAGAAATGTTTTCTGGGGACCCCGGTTCCTCCTCCAGGGTCCCCAAGGTCCCCCTCGGTCTCCACGAACCACCTCAGACCCCCAAAACCCTCCCTGGGACCCCAGCCCTCCCCGGAGCCCTCTCTGGGACACCCAGATCTCCCTCGGACCCCCCAAAGCCCCTCCACGGGACCCCAAAACTCTCTGGGAGACCCCAACTACCCCCAGAATCTTTCCTGGCGCACCCCACCCCCTTGAGACCTCACGAATCCCACCCTGGGACAGCCCCACCCCCCTCGGGCAGCCCCCAACCCCCAATTCTGTCCCACAGCCCCCGTCACACCCCCGGAGCCCCCCCCGAGCCCCCCCCCAGCCCACGCCGTTGTCCACGTGGGGACAGAGACCCCCACCCTGCACGCAGGTGAGTGGGGGGCTTCGGCTGGAGACCCTCGGGTGGGGGAGCCCCTGCTGGGGGGGCTCGGAGCTCTCAGGGTCCCTCTGACCCCCCCAGGCTCCGTCCCCCGCAAACCCCTGGGGGGCCGCGAGAGCTGGAGCCCCCCGGACCGCGACGAGGACAAATACCGGCGGAGACCCCTGGCCTGGGTGCCCCCCAAACTCAGGTGGGGCTGGGGGGATTTTGGGGGCCTCGGGGGACACTTTGGGGGTCACTTGGGGTCCCTTTAGGGGGGGTCACTTGGGGTCCCTTTTGGGGTCATGGGATCCCTTTTGGGGTCACTTGGGGTCCCTTTGGGGGTCACTCTGGGGGGTCCCTTTGGGGGGAGTCACTTGGGATTATTTGAGGGGTCACTTTGGGGGCTCATGGGGTCCCTTTGGGGTCTGTTTGGGGGATCGTGGGGTCCCTTTGGGGGAGTTACTTGTGGTCACTTGGGGTCCCTTTGGGGGGGTCCCTTTGGGGGTCACTCGGGTCCCCTTCAGGGGGGGTCACACGGGGTCCCTTTGGGGGTCCCTTTGGGGGGGTCACTTGGGGTCTCTTTGTGGGGGTCCCTTTGGGGGTCCCTTTTGGGGTCTCTGGGGGTCCCTTTGGGGGTCCCTTTTGGGGTCTCTGGGGGTCCCTTTGGGGGTCCCTTTGGGGGGTCACACGGGGTCCCTTTGGGGGGGTCACTTGGGGTCCCTTTGAGGGGCCGTGGGATCCCTTTCGGGGTCCCTTTGGAGTCACACGGGGTCCCTTTGGGGGGGTCCCTTTGGGGGGATCTCTTTGGGGGTCCCTTTGGGGGTCCCTGTCTCACCCCTCCCCCGCAGGTGCCGGGTTCGGGGGGTCCCGCGGCGCCCCCTGCTGGCGCTGTGCCTGGGCGGGGCCGCGGCCTTCGCGCTGCTGCTGCTCCTATTGGGCAGCCTGGGCAGGGGCGGGGCCGACTCCGACCCCGCCCTGGAGCCGCTCAACAACCCCCACGTGCGGGTGGGGCACTGAGCACGCGTGGGGGGCGGGGCCGAGGGGGGCGGGGCAAATAAAGGGCGCCCCCCTGTGGAGAGGGAGGTCAAAGTGTCCGTGTGATTCTTGGGGGGCACCAGTCCTTCCCAGTGACCCCCAGGAACACACCAGTCCCTCCCAGTGACCCCCCAGAGTCCTCCCAGTGTCCTCCAGGAACACACCAGTTCCTCCCAGTGACCCCCAGTGCACTCCCAGTGTCCTCCCAGTGACCCCTGGGAACACACCAGTCCCCCCCAAATGACCCCCCAGTGTCCCCCAGGAACAGACCAGTCCCTCCCAGTGCTCCCAGTGCCCTCCCAGTTCCCAGCACACCAAAGAGCACCAGCGCACCGGTTCTTGACCCCAGCAGGGGGTTCCTGGGCATTGTTTTGGGGATCCCTTGAGGGCAGCTGGAGCTCCCCAGGAAGGAATTTTGGGGTCCCAGTTGGGGTGGGGGCCATCCCAGGGAGGTTTTGTGGTTCCTTGAGTGGTTTGGGGCAGTTCCGGGGGCCCTTGGGGGGCCCAGGAGGTTCTTTGGGGGGTCTTGGGCAGGGCTGGGAGGGCCTGGGGCAAATTGGGGGCTCCAGGGGCGTTTGGGGGGCGTTCCAGGGGGATTTTTGGGGATCTGGGGGGAGTTTTTGGGGGTGTCCCCCGCCCTAAAACGGGTGGGCCCCCACGGCCAGGTGGAGGCGGAGCAAGGCCAGGCCCCGCCCAGCCGGAGGGGGCGGGTCCCAGGCACCGGGGGGCGGGTCCCGGGCACCGGGGGGCGGGTCCCGGGCACCGGGGGGCGGGGCATCTGCGGTTGTGGGCGTGGCCTCGTGCGGGGGGCGGGGCCCCGGCCGGAGCAGCTCCACCTCCAGCAGCAGCTGGCGCGGCCCCGCCAGGGGGCGCACGAGCTCCAGCAGCGAGCTGTGATTGGTCAGCACCTGCGGGGGGGGCGGGGTCACGCGGAGACCCCGCCCCCAGCCCCCCCAAATCCCCACCGACCCCCCCGGAAAATGCTGGAAAAAATCTGACAGACACTGCAGAGACCCCGGAGCCCCCAAACACCGCTGGAATCCCCTCAAAATACCCAACCCACCCCCAAAACACAGCCAGAGACCCCCCCAGCAGCCCCCGGCCCACAAACCCCCCCACAGACCCCCCCAGCCTCCCCCACTGCCCTCTAGACCCCCCAAAAACACCTCGGAGCTTCCTCAAAACCGCCCCAGACACGCCCGAATTCCCCCTCAGCGCCCCCAGAACGGCTCCAGGGCCCCCCAGTTCCCCACCACAGCCCCCCCAAACCCCTCCCAGCCCTCGGTACCCGCAGGCGAAAGGTGCCGGGGGGACCCCCCCGCAGCCGCAGCCTTTGGGGGTCCCCCGGGGGATGCTGGAGCTGGAAAATGCCGGCGGGAACATCGGGGATGTGGGGGATGGCCAGGAAGCGATGCAGGAGCCAGCGGGGGCGGGGGGCGCAGCCGGGGACACCCCCGGGGCACACGCAGGTCCTGGGGGGCCACAGAGCAGCGCTGGGGGCACCCCCGGACCCCAACCGCCCCCCGGACC